AGGGTAGCCACCTTGGACCTTTGATCTTCCTGCTCTACTTCAACGATGTGAATTATGTGCTTGACGGACCTCGACTATCGTATGCTGACGATCTAAAAATCTACCTTCGGATTCGTTCCATTGCCGACTGTCACTTTCTTCAACGCCAGCTTCATGCTTTTGCTGACTGGTGCACCTTGAACCGAATGGAAGTTAACCCGGCGAAATGCTTAGTAATCTCCTTTTCTCGGATAAAAGAACCAATCATCTTCAACTACAACCTATTGGGTTCGGCAATTGAACGAGTGAGCCACGTGAAGGATTTGGGAGTCATTTTGGATTCGCAACTCACATATAAGCAGCATATTTCGTATGTCGTTGATAAAGCTTCCAGAACACTAGGCTTTATCTTTAGAATAACCAAAAACTTTACTGATATTTATTGCCTGAAGTCATTGTACTCCTCACTGGTCCGATCAGTCTTTGAATACTGCTCAGCAGTTTGGAATCCAAGCTACAACAATGGTGTTGAAAGAGTCGAATCTGTCTAGCACCGATGCTTACGCTTCGCCCTTCGGCGATTGCCTTGGAGCAATCCTTTCCGTTTGCCTAGCTATGAAAGCCGATGTCAGCTGATTGGTTTGGAAACTCTTTCGACCCGAAGAGACGCTGCAAGGGCTTTACTTGTTGCCGATACATTGCAAGGGAGAATCGATTGTCCTACTATCCTCGAAAAAATCGATTTGAATGTACGACCACGTGCACTAAGAAACAGTCTTATGCTGAGACTTCCCTTTCGTCGCACGAACTACGGAATGAATGGAGCAATAAACGGACTGCAGCGAGTTTTCAACAGAGTTGACTCAGTGTTCGATTTTCACGTACCACGTCAGACGCTTCGCCGTAGTTTCACCTCGATATTTTCGGGCACAGGTAACCGTGAATAGCAGTGTAATGTTTAAGTTTTAAGCACAGACAATCATGTTGTTTTTTGTATTACTTAACATCATTGGGGCTTATTTTAGCCTGTTGATGGAATCAATTAAATAAATTAACTTCTACGAAGATCCCTAAACTTGTACAAAGTTTCCACTTCTACGAAGTTTTCTGAACTTTTCCATGATCTCAGAACTTAAAATAATTTCACCAAATTTAGCTCTTGATCATCTGACCTATGTAAATCTTAATGCATAGAAAAAATAATACCAAAGAAACATTCAAAAGCAGGACAGTGTTCTAGTGAAAACAGTTAACGGAACATTAGATTCAAACGAAGCATATGCGTCATTAATCACATTAGCGACAGTATGAATAGCCTCATTCAGCCCATAGTGTCAATTACGAGCTGCGAGGTGTATGAAGTGTCGTTGGCTTATAACTTTTTCAGGTGCGTGAAAGAAGAGTTACCGTAGTTCCGCGAAGTTTCTTATTGAACTCGGGTCTAATTTAGAAACATTATTTGTAGTAGTTTTGTTCCTCAGGGCAGAGAATCATGGCAGGAACGCGGCTTCTTTGATATTGTCTCCTACGGACATTTTTAGGAAGGATCAAGAGCTGAAGATCGTCGTCTATTATAATTGAATCGAATTTAACCTCGCATTTTGGTACTGAGGCAGCTCTTGCTGCAACTATAGAAGTAGTCAAGAGCATAATTAATTTCATCTTTGGTTTGCAAAGGAATGTTTGGATCGAAGTTATATTCCATAAATGTTCGATACTGCTCCCAATCAGCTCGATGGTAATTAAAAGTAGAGCTGTTGGGATTACAAATTATTTCTTGGGATATTTCAAAAGTTACTGGAAGGTGATCAGAACCGAAGTCAGCATGGGTAACCAATTGGCTACAAAGTTGACATGAATCAGTTAAGACCAAATCAATAGTGGAGGGATTTCTTGCAGAAGAAAAGCATGTTGGGCTGTGTAATAATGTAAATAACCTGCAGAACAATCATCAAACAGAATATTACCATTGGAATTGCTTTGAGCATTATTCCATGAGCGGTGTTTTGCATTAAAATCACCAATAATGAAGAATTTAGACCTATGACGGGTAAGTTTCTGGAGGTCACCCTTGAGAAAATTCTTTTGCTGGCCTACGCATTGGAATGGCAAATAGGCAGCTATAAACGTAAGTTGTCCAAATTTTGTTTCAACAGAAACTCCCAAAGTTTCAAAAACTTTGGTTTCAAATGAAGAAAGAATTTTATGTTTGATTCGTCTATGAATAATGATGGCAATGCCACCACAGGGTCCATCAAGACGATCATTTCTATAAATCAAGTAATTTGCGTCCTTCTTAACCTTATGGTCAGGTTTAAGGAACGTTTCAGTTATAACGGCAATATGCACATTATGAACTCTCAAAAAGTTAAATAGCTCGTCTTCATTATGCTCGATCTCTTAGCATTCCAATTTAAAATATTTATTGCTTTAAAATCCATTACTGAATTTTAAAGTCATGACAATATTATTAGCAAATTTTACTCCAGTTTGAATAGCATCAAACATGGAGTTAGATTTAAGCATATCAGAAATCATGTCAATTAATGATTTCTGTAAAAATTCCATTTTAGGGGCAGTAATGCTTCCTAAGTCAAAATTGTCAAAATTTCCGTTAGAATTACGTTGGTTAGTATTTTGATTTCTACCCGCTGCAATAGCAGCATAGGTAGCTCCATTAACTCGCTGAACATTGTTAGCAGCGAGGGGAGTAGGTACAGATGAAACATTTGAAGCAGGGGTGCTATTTGTACCTACGGGTACGAATGTAGAATTTGTTCCTCGCTGACCGTTGTTAACAGCAGAGGAATTTGTACCTGGTCGGAAACGTGGAGCGCTTCCTACCTGTCGGTTAGAACGAGATTGTAGGATCGCTTTGCGAGTCTTACATTCCCAAAAATTGGATTTGTGGTTTTCACCACAATTTGAACATTTAAATTTCTTAGGATCTTCCTTCACAGGACAGTCGTCCTTTGCGTGAGAGGAATCACCACAATTCATGCATTTAGCTGGCATGTAGCAATTTTTAGTTCCGTGACCCCATCCCTGGCACTTACGGCACTGGGTGAGGTTTTGGAAATTTCCTCCAGTCTTCCTGAAGTGTTCCCACTTCACTCGGACATGGAGCATAACGTTAGCTTTTTTTAAGGTCTTAAGGTTGTTTAGTTCACTAGACTTGAAGTGAACTAAATAAAAATCATTAGAAATCCCGTTGCGCGAATCGCCTGGACGGAATTTCATTTTCATTTTGATTACTTGGAGTGGCACAACTCCAAGTAATTTAGCCAGTTCATCTTTGATCTGATCCAGAGATTCACCACTGGGCAGTCCTTTCATGACAACCTTGAACACACGTTCAGTTTTGGTGTCGTAAGTAAAATATTGATGCTGCTTCTCAGTAAGTGAGATACTTGAGAAGACATTTAAATCCGTCCAAGGTTTCAGCCAATACACGGCATTCATCCCGACGTCCAATTTGTAGAGAAAACTTAACTTTCACGAAATTCAAAAGTTCCATGCGAAGAGCATGGAAATCGGAGTGGTTATCACAATAGGGGAAATCTTTTCCTTCTTGGCATTAAGCCGGGAAAGTTTACTAGAACTTTTCTTGGATGATGGATCATTCTCATCATCCGTGAGCAAATCAAATTAATTACTCAAATGAATTTCATCAGAAGAGGGGTCAAGAGTTTGCCCCTTTCTTTTGCGTTTAGGCGCCATGGCGGCAATAAATTTTTATCCATATCGACTTCCAAGCAGATTACTATAAGAATCTGAAGGATCGAAGAGGAATTTTCCAAATCGATATCCAAGAAGAATTACCTCGGGTAGGGTTCAAACAAGGATCGAAGAGGAATAAGAGGTAGAAATTTTACATGTTGAGCACTGAAAAGTGCTGTTTAAATTTGTTGTAGCTTTAGGTAGTAGTAACACTTCCTTCAGCAAAAAGCAAATAGATCCGCACGGCAAGAGAGCACGATGCGGACTGATTCTGCAGTTCCTTTTTTTACCTCATCTATTGTAACATTTAAATGATCTTCGTATTTAGCTCCTGGGAAAAATCCGAAACTCCGGTTTGTGACTTCGAAAGGAATCCACCAACATTAAGTTGATTTTCTTTACGTCATTTCCAGAGTATTTACCCCTCCCCATTCTACAAGCAGGTTTGATCTAATATGATCTGCCCTAAATTCACGTTGTCCCATTCGTAACGGCATTCCGATTATATTTACTATTTTCTCTAACTTTTTCTCAAGTCCCGAAATAACGTGCTCAACTTTTTGGCTCAGCTCTGGTACTATCTTCGGTCCCAAGCTAATCGATTCACCCCTCGAAACATAATAAAATCCACTAACCCCTCATTTTATCTGTCAAACTTTAATTAATTAAATAATCTAACTAGCGAATTAAAACAAACATAGTGTAGTACTGGAATTTCGACTAGAATGGGGTACGTTAATTGTTTGCTTGGGACCAATAGGCTAGTCATGTAGTGAGCCAATTTAAAATCGTTAATTTCGTATTGATTGTTGGTATAGCTCAATATATCTCTAATAAAAAAGTAATGATCGATGCTCTCAAGAGCAATCCGTCCCTGAATATGCCTACAAAATTATACCTTGATTTCAGTACTAGAATGAAAGCTCCGCCAAGGGATAAACAGTCATCACTCAAACCTGGATAATCCATCACCCCTGGTGTTCGGTTCAGCACCCACTTCCCCCAACAAGTTATCCACCTTGGATAGAGAATCGTTACGCCAGGACTACGATTTCAACGATTTTCCTTCTCCCATTACAGCAACCCCGGCTGACCAAGCACACAAACCACCACCTTTGGACTCTCTTCGCCGATTTTCCCACCCCAGTCGGAGAGCAAGGACACTCGGCTCTCGCTCTCCCAACAATTCCTCTCCCGCTCACAGGAACAGCCTCCCTCCGAGTAGCAGCAGCAGCAGCAGAACGATAACAGGTTTCCTCCCGCACGCAGCGAAGTCAGTCTCGGTCGGGATCTCTGAAGAAACGGAAGTAAAACCGCGAACGATATCCAGTGTTGCGCCAACAGACCAAACCACCCACAACCCCCTCTTCTGTAATTGTGTGCAATTGGAACAGTTGAGTGGCAGGAAAAAAAGGAATAACACATTCTCCGGGATCCTATTCCCCACTGCTCCGCGTGTAGTTGGATACGAACGGTTGGTGGAAGGTGCGAATGAGAATGGGCTCCTCCTGCTGCCCCCAATGGTAGTGATCTCGAACCCTTTTCCAATCACGGCCGCCACCGATTTCCTAGCGGTCGCAGTCGTAGTCGTTCTGTCCCGGAAGGATGTGTGCGGTGGATGTGAACTCGCCGTTTTTTTTCCTCCCTCCCCCGATGATAATGTAGTTTGATAAAAAAAGCGAGGAGCATTTAGGAGGAAATAACAGTGTGAGAGAGGATGGACATTCCCACATAAAAACAGCGTGATAAACGGCGCGAGCAGATACGGTCAGCTGCATATGGGAAGACAGTGAATCGAAAAGGCAAAAGCCACTCCTCCCATTTGGTCGAGGGGGTAGAAATATTAAACTCCGTTCTAGTGTGTGAACCGGGATCGTTCTTCAGTGCTATTTAAGAAGCTCCAGTTCTGGTACGGGCGGGCGGCGGGAGCTAAAAGGATAACAACTTGTTCCCGAGGCGACCAGGAGTGGGGTGTTCTTAGGAGAACGAAAGTGATGCTGTGACGAGATTGAATTAAGAAGATGATAAATTTATGAAACGGGTAGGAAGCAAAGCTGAAGGCCCAAACGTATGTGTCATGGAGCATTAGGCGTGACGTGGAGCAGCAGAAGTAGGATTCATTCGGATGTTGACGGGGAAGAAAAAAGGCCAGTCTCCGTGTGCTCGGGAAGGGGATTAGTGATGTGATGTACGTGTAGAATCGGGCAATCGTATAAGTCGGATGATTCCTAGCTCCTAGGGAAGTTGGCAACGTGCCCCGTGAGCAAACGCCAATAATTACGTGACAGCGGAGGCGACGACGGCGACGACGACGACGACGACGGTTACCTTTCTGCAAAGGTTGGAAAGCAGTGGGGATAATGTTGCATATATGTGAAATGAAATCGTATTAGTGCTTTGCGGCAATTTGACTCTCAAAGGGATTGTGGAACAGATGTGTGGATTGTATACACGGGGAATCACATCCAGAATCTTCGTTGAATTCGTCGAAATGACGCACATATCGGTGAAATTCGGACCGATCTGATTTGGTATTTAGAAAGTAATTCAAGGCAAACCAAACATCAAAATATGCGTGAAAACCTGCCAGGGTTAGAATTGGAAGGATATTTATGATCTGGGTAGTCGAAGTCAGAGTCAGTGAAATAATACCGTCTTCTAATGATTAAGTTTGATTGGAAAAAATCACCTATTAATTTATGTGTATAAACTATGAAACTTTACTAATGGACTCAACTTTCATAGCACTGAGATATGTCTGTTATATAACTTTGAACTAATTTTGATATTTAAATCGGTTTAGTAGTTGTGCAATCAAACCCTCAAGTCAAATTATTCCATGTTTGGAAGAGCAACCTCAGAAGAATAGTCTTCAGATTTGAGAGAACGAATCAAACTGGTAACTCGTCAGAATTGTTGCGTAATTGAGTGCCAACGGCGATAACGAACTGCTCATCTGCATAAATAAATTTGAATTCATACGAAGCATTATTCATTTAACCTTTTTTTCATAAAGTTTACCTGTTGAAGAATTTGACTCAAACTTTAAGCATTGCTTCCGAAGTCTGCATTTTCCGAAACATATTGCCATATATCATAGCAATCATTGAATTTTCAGAAATAAGAAGAAGAAGAAACCGCAGCTGTCATTCATTCCAAACACTGATACAAAAACATATTATTAAATTATTTGTAGACTCCACACTTCTATGAAATTGAGATCCAGTCAAAATAAATTGGATACGAAATATTTTTAAAGGTCCATTAAGACTATCTGATTTCTTGGTCTGATTCGAGCGGACTGCTCGATAATTTTGTCGGATGCAATGTTCGGATGCGTTCACACTTTTTCGACATGATGATCAGATTTGACGTTTGATTTGTCGAACGAAAAAGGTTTGTGTTTAATTTTCATTCGACTCATTCATTTCTAAAATTTCACGGATTTGAACTGCTAAATACCCAAGTAACCACCAAGCCCGCTAACTACCCGATAATTGCCCTTTGTTCGATATAAGGTAAATATAGAGTTTCCGAACTTTATATTAGTCGTATACTGCCGCTCTTCGCATGTCGGTCCCATAGTCGTTTTTGTCATAACTGAGTTTTTCAATGCAAATGGTAGCAAACTACCCATATTTTCATAATACTGGATGAACTCATCAACTTTGTTCTGAAAAAGTTTGGAAAGACAGTCACATTGGTTGTCCAATCACATAAGAAGCAATGGTACGAAGCAAACTTAAAACGCGATTTTCTCGGCTTGCCGATTTTCGCTATGGGACGGACTTGCGAAGAGCGGCAGTATAGCAGCCTTATATCAAGACCAACAATTGAAATGGCCTTAACTTCATTTTGTAAACAAACCTTGTAAGGTAATTTTCTCGCGAATCGAAACCTTCATTCGCAAACCTAAGCCACAATCAGGTAGAGGAGAATTTTCCCCACCTGTTCATTATGTTGGTTTGCCTTTGCGGACTTCGGTTCGCGAGAAAATGGTCTTACAAGGTTTGTTTACAAATTGGAGTTAAGGCCATTTCAATTGTTGGTCTTGATATAGCAAAAAGGGCAATTAACGGGTTTGCTGGTCTCTTGGGTAATGCTTGATTTGCGTTTGGATGGCATCCAGCAGCAAGGTAAACCGATTTCACTATTCAATATTGTCCTGTGTATGATTTGACTGATTTTCATTTTGGCCGAAAGATGCCGTAATGGCTTTGATCATGACAAGGTCATCAAAACAGCATGTTTTATATAAGAATAAGCATGCCAGACCGGAGGTCTGAGAGCCTACTAAGATTTTTTTAGAGCTTCAGAGAGGTTTGGAGATGTACTGAGATAATTGTTGAGCTTCAGGGTAGTTCGTAGATGTTGAGAACAGAATTTTACAGAAATTTAAATAAATTCGCAGAACTTCAGACAAGTTAAAAAATCTACAGTTAAATGTACAGAATTTCACAGAAGTTTGGAGATCTACTGAAAAATTATTGAACATCAAAAAAGATCGAAGAAATTCAAAACAAAGCTACAGAACTTTGGAAAAAATTACAGAACTTCTGGAAAAAATCACAAGAATGGTCATAGATCTTCAGGTAAACTTAAAGGCCTTCAAAAAAGTATGCAGATTTTCTGATACATTTTTAAAATCTCAGAAATTTTAATGGATCTTCAGTGAAACTTGCAGAACTTTAGGGAAGTTCTGCGATTTAAAAAAATATTTATACTTTTTCAGAGAAACTTGTGTTTGAGACAACGAAACCTTATCCCCAAGCTCCTCCCCTGATCCTATCCTTCGACAATGTACCTCTCTAACCTCGAGTAAGCCGCGAGTATTCGGCCCAACTCCTACTACCCAAGTAACAATTCAAGCTGATCAGTAAGAACAGAAGCTGATTATTGGTTGATTTAAGGTGTACAAAGCTGATTAACATTAGGCTGAATACATAGTTGATTAGTAGTGCATGAAGCTAATTGTATCCCCATAATCCAACCTCAATAAGTTAGCTGATCTAAAGATTGAACAAGCCTTCTTTAAGCTTAACACAACTTCACAAATCAGCAATACGTTACACAAATTTTGATAGCTTGATTTGTTAAATGTCGTCAGTATCTGTGTCACTCCTACCTTTCTAATTACAAGCAGTAGCAGACTAGGAAGAGGAGATTTTAAGGAATAGCTTCAGGTAGATGTTGACTGCGACGACGTCGGAAGAATTAACATTTGTATTTCTGTGTTTTGACTGCTATATTGCACTGAAGTTTCAGACCACATCCAATATTAATACTCAATTATGGCACTAAAATAGCATCCAAATTACCATCGAAATAAATCACGCGCTTGTGTCCACATTGTATTAACCGCACTTGAAAATAAGAGGAATGTTTTACTGTCACCAGTTGTTGTTTACAATTCTGCATTGCTGTATAATACTCTTCCGGTTGCTATTATTCAGCTTAAATTTGACGTGCTTCAAGTCAATGATCATAACTTTTGCCACACATATGCTTAAGTGGTCCAGTAGGTGTGATTGATGCCTGTGAATCAGCGACTGCCGGTTCGAATACCATAATGTAAAGGTTATTTTTAGACTTATACTAACAATATAAATATGTAAATCCTATTAGTCACCAACAAAATAAAAGCATTTCCACATAAATGCATAAGATATCAAGCGATCTTCCTTGATTATGTTTGAAATAAACTTAGAAGGCTGAACAAGGGTTGGAAAAGACTGTTATTTAATGCCTTAAAAAGCTTATAATGTATATTACTGTTAAGCTTTTGGCTGATTAATGTCACCAGATTTAGATGTTTAAAAGCTGAACAAAGGCTAGCGTGGTCTATGTGCAACAATTATTCAATCTAAAGCTGAATTAAAAACGATTAACCAACACTTGTTAAGCATCAAATTGTTACCTGGGTAGTTCTTCAAAATTCACTTAATTCTATGTCTATATCGGCTCCGTAAAGCTAACGTGAAATAGACGAACTAGTTAAAAAAAGAGAAACTTGTAAATCTTGCGAGAAACATTTAAAACTTCAAGGAACCTCACATGTTTTTAGATAAATTTTGAGAACGATCGTCAGAGAAATTTTCAGATCTTCAGGGTAGCCCGAGAGCCTACAGAGAAATTAACAAAACTTAAGAGAAGTTTTCAGATCTAGTGAGTAATTCGTAGAACTTGGGAATAGAACTACGAAGCTTCCGACAACTTAACAGAACTTTAAAGGTATTTGCGAGGGGGGCGACTCATCTAAATCTCAACTTTAGATGCTCAAAAAATCTCACACTAGCGAATCAATCTTCGCAATTTCTCGCATATATTTGCATCACGCATCATTTTTTGCAGGAAATTTTCAGAATCGTCATCAATCTTCTTTCTATCTACTCAGCGTGCAAGCAGATAGCCACAGCACAACACAATCTTTCCTGCAGCGTAGATAGAGTCGTCCCCCTGGGGTATTTGCAAAACTTCAGAAGTGTAGATATTAAATGAAATCTGCAGACCTGCAAGGAATTTTGCAGATCTTCAGAGACATTCAGTGGTTCCGAAAGCTTCACAGTTTCATAAAATATTGAGATCTTCAGGAAAATTCATGAAATTTCAGAAAAAATATTTCAAATCTAAGCCATGTACGAAAGTCCACGATTTTACAGAACTCCATGGAAGTTGGAAATAGATATATCTGAAGAAATTCAGAGGTGTCTGTACACCATAAGAGAAGTATGTAAAACTTCAGGTCGTTCTTACATTTTTAGATAAATTTGCATGACTTCAGCAAAACTCACAGAACTTCGGGAAAGTTCGCCGATCTTTAGAAGTATGCTTTATGGAAGTCCAAGAATCCACAAATAAATGTGTAGAACTTTAGAGATGTTCGAAGATCTACTGAGAAATTTATTGAACTTCAGAGCAGTTCGAAGACCTTCAGACCAAAAATACAGTACTTCAGAAAACTTAGCAGCATTTTAATGAAATTTTAGAAGGGTAGAGGGTAGATCGTAAGTCTACTGAAAAATCTATAGATTTTTAAATAAATTTTAAGAATTTGATTCAGGTTCTCGGATTTTAAAACAAATTAAAAGAACTTCAGGGAAGTTCACTGATCTTTAACGATATTTGCACTACTTCAAAGAAATTAGTAGATCTTCAGAAAACTTCCTTAAACTCCGGGGAAGCTCAAAAAATTCTAGATATTTTTTTATACTTTAAGGGAATTGTGTAGATGTTCAGAAATATTTGCAGATATGCATGGAATCATGAAAATCAACAGAGAAAATCACAGAACTTTCGAGAAGTTCGTAGATTATTAGAAATTTAGTGAACTTTAGAGATAA